TAATCAGCTCGCGATAATGTTGGTTTTGTTATTATAAACGATGTTTCTGCAAAATTCGAAGCAAATAATATTAAGTTTAAGTTTTATAGGTGAACACCCCTTCCGTCACTCTAACCCTATAAGTATTTCGATGTAACTTAGAACCAAGGTCCCATCTATTTCTATAGGAAAATTCATCATAATCGATTTTGCTATTAGGGCGCGAAAGCGTAACAAATAAACTCACTTTCGCATCTACAATATTATACTAGCGGCCGCCTGCGACTTCGTACGTGTCGAGTTAGTTATTTGCACATACTTTTTGACCCCAAAAGGGGTTTATTTCTAAAGATACATTATTAGTACACCTCTACATCATCTATAGAGCATACATGTTAAATTTCAAGTCTCTTACTTCAAAAACAGAGGACTTTCATATAGGGACACGATATCGAATAGAAAGTATCGATACTGTACTCATGAGTAGTATCGGTAAAAAAGTATCGTACTCGTAAAAGTATCGAAACAAAAGTATCGATACTTCAAAGTATCGAGTACATTTCATAGGGCCTTATCGGATCCTCTGTGGCCCGATGAGCAACCCCCTGAAAAAAAGCCTGTGATTCATATAATAATAAATTCAATTTTATTGATATATTTAATAATGGAATTAATGATTACAAAAAGCTTTTAATTAAGCAATTGAATAAATTAACTGTTATTTGTTATTTGTTTATTTTTGTTTGTATAAGATAGCAAGATCAATAATAACCTTGTGGGTACATCTAATATTTATAGTTTATTATAATAACTGCCAACGAGATTTTATATTAACCAATGTATAAAATTTGTCAAAAAAACATGTAAAAAACAGTGTTCATACCCCAAAGTAACATAATCTGTAACAGCCAAACTGACTAGTACTTCTTTCTCGAAGTACCTATCAAACTATTATTCTGGAATTTAACTCCGAATGAATAAAATAAAATTCAAGTGGTTTTTATAGACAAAATCTTGTGAATCCATCAACATTGCCAATGAGCGTTGTTCAAAATACTTGACCATTGGTTTTTTTGGTGTCCCACATTTTTGCAGAAGACAAAGTTAAGTTTACAGGTCGATATTGGTACTAGTATCTTTAAAATTTATCAAATTACCAATTATATATATAAAACAGTTACAAAACCAATCCATTTCTTTGGGAAACTAAAAAAACTAAAATACTAGAGTTTGAAATGTATAAAAAAAACATTTGTCTCATTATCTCATAATTTTCAAGCTGATTTTTATCATTATATTTTCAAGAACCCCTTTAAATTTTAAGAACTAAATCGATAGTTGTTGAGTAAAAATATAGTAAAATGGTGTTTTGAAACCATTGAGTTCAGATAATTTCTGACATTATTTATAAAACATTGTCTCGCGAAAAAGTTCCAAAAACGGTATTCCACTTTTTCTTTACCCAAAGAACATGGTAAAATTTTGTATAAGCGACTGCTCTAGCAATGTATAAATAAGTTTTATTTTCTTCATTTGCAAAAATCAAAGCATTAATTATCATACAGCCTTCTCTCAAGCCTGATCAGAAAAACAAAATCTAGTATTTTAGGCCTTCAGTGATTTGTTATAATAAAAATAAGGGCCTTTCACTAAAGTTGTAAGAGAATTATAAACACGTAATAAAAAAAAATACACAAAATTATGGGCTAATGCGATCATTATACACGTTAAGGGCAGTTTCTTAGCCATGTCCTTTGCCAAAGGAAATTCAAACTAATGATAAACTACATTTAACATATTGGCAATACTTTGTACAGAAAACGTCATTCCACCATATTGTGTTTACCTTACTTAGTATCGAAAACACGCTCCGAGAAGTAACCTGTGCTGAGTCGATCAAAAATTATGTCAATTTATGTTAACAGTTTTTGAAATAAGTAACAACAATTAATATATCAATGACAATAGTCTATACTTTGTTTTCTTGGCTACATTGTGGTGCAATAAAAATCTATTACGCTTATTTTTTATCATAGAAAATATTTTTGAAGATTTTACATCGGGAATTCGTTACTTTTTTTTTGGTTATTTTTGCATGGTATCGTATAAATGGAAAGGCAGGTAACAACACAAAAATAATAGATGAAGCCATGCTTACAAGTCAGTAACAGTTAAAAAAAGCGGAGTTTCTCAGTTCGTCAGAAGCTTGTTCTGTATATGCTACTCGATTATAAGTTTATTTGGGTGCATTTCAATATCAAGTCCTAAAAGTAATGCCAACGAATTAATGATAAAACCACAAAGCTGGAAATCTAGTTCTTAATCTTATACTAGTGTATAATATGAGGCCTTACAATTCAGATTTTGTTCCTCTCGATTCGTTTTTTGTTATCTGTCCAAATAGTGAACAATTTTCAATCAATATATTTTTTTTGCACTGTTTAGCTTTCTAAACTAAAATAAATGTCTGATTATTATAGTTATTCGTGTAATTTTCTAGTTGTGAAGTTCATAATATAAACCTTACCTGTATTTATCATTATAGAATTAAACTTCAGAGTCAGAAAATATCCATGGTAACAAAACAATAAAATTTTGAATATAACTGAAAGATTTCTAATTATTATCTAACCTTTTTGATCTCAAGCCATTGGTTATGGTCTTGGAATATAATTATTAAAACATTAAAAACACTGTTGCCGTATTTTCTTTTATTTTCAACTAAATTTTTATCAGTTTTAATATAAAAATGGTAAATGAAACGTAATAACATATGTCTTGTCTCGTCTTGGATATCGAATTTGGCTAGATTTTTATTTTTCTAAACTTTTCTAGACATGGTCTAAAAATTTCAGATTAATTCAATAAGTTGTGCATCAAAAACAAAATGTTTTACCCAGTAACCTTACTTTATTTCTACATAATCACTATAAGAATCAGATAAATTAGAAGAATACAGAACTGCTTTAGTGAATCTCGCATACAGATTTCTCTTTACAGGGTAAGAATTTATTACATTAACATAAAAAAAAAACCCTTAATCTTCCTTCTACAGGTTCCCGTTTCGAACCACGCTAAATCAGGGCCCTTAACGGCCTTACCTCCTTTAGCAGCTGTCGTGATATTGCTCCGACTGAACTCCTTTGTCAGGACTTCGATGCTGTCTCACCAGCCAGCCGCTCCGGAATCATTATCCGGATTGAAGACTGATGGTGCCACGTCGTCATCCTTCTCACTCGGTGTAGTGAAAGCATTGCTGATTGCCTTCAGCAGATTCCGTTTTTCTCCGACATTCATTATGAAACAAATTATTAGTTTTATGAGAATAGGTTGTTTATCCCACTTCTGATGTTAGCATTGGCATTAATAATTAATTTTATAAACACTTTGAAACTTATATAAAGCAATAAAAGCAAATGGAATGGAAATAAAACTATTCAATAGATTCAGATTTCTTTATTTTATAAGAGAAATCACTACTTTCAAAATTATTAAATGTTTAAAGTACACTATTTATTGATTATTAAAATTAAAATACCAAAACAAAGTATAAAATCTTTACTCGCAAATAATCTCTTATTTTAATTTTTAAGATTACAGAAGTAATTTCTATTGTAAATGGCAAAGATATATTATTGTATATTATTTTTAGATATTAGGTAGTTTTAAGCTTTTTGTAATTGTAAACTCATACATTTTATTAATCTAAATAAATTTCCTTATTAGATTATGACTTACAATATTATACAAATATAATTCCGATAAAAGTTATAAACAACAATATGAAAATGATTACTTAACTCAGAGCTCCGCTCGGTCCGATGGCTCGATACAGAATCGCGCCGCAAAGGTTGGAGCTCGGCCTTTTAAAGGCAGCGACAAACAACTAACCTCATCGGGCCGTTCAGAACACGTGTACAAAGATTTCGCTGACTACCCGCAATTTATGAAATATTCTATTAAATTATGTAATTTAGTGCTAGCAATAGATTTTCACAGTATTTTATATAAAACCTACATTACAAAAATCAAGTACGAGTATTGAAGCAGCAATAACATCACTGAATCAACCATTTTTAAGTGTACAATAATTATACAGCCGCCTCGATGTTTTGTTTTTAGCTTGTTAATGACCTTATGTGTATATTATCTAACACCCGCAAGTTTAAATAATCAAGAGGTCATATTGAAACAGGCTACTCACATTCCTGCCGAAGGGACAAACTAGGTGTAAGAGTGGGTTCATTACATGCATCCCTTTTAAGGAAGCAATTAAGGGATGACCTTTAATTGCCTCTTGAATAGGAAATATGCATGTAATTCAAATAAACTTCATTTTATTTTTATTGAAACTCTGTTACTCATAAGTCCATTAATACATGGTATTAAATTTCTTTTCGTGCAAGAAATTAATGATACAAAAGTGTCGGAAAAACGAATTTTATTGAAACAAAATCCGAAAACATCTTCACTGAAGATGCCAATAATCGTATTGGGCAGCAAAAAAATACGATGAAGACAAATTTACACTAAGAGATCGCCTTGTAGATTAGAATGTCCAGAAAATTTGAAAATTAAATACTCTGAGGATGCTTAACGTTGAGATGACGACGATTATTCCAAGCAAGTACATCTAGTGACCAGTAAACATTTTTGTGATGCAGCTGTTATGACTGAAGAAATTGACGAGAACACCAGAATTTCCAATTTGATGTTCTGCAAATTCATCACCCACGAACTTGATAAGGATAATGCCGATGCTGGTGAGCTTTAAGAAACCAAAACCAATAATGAAACCGATAAATACAGTTTGAGATTTATTAACGTTTAAGAAGTTACAATAATTTATTTATTATTATTTAAATTTAAAATCAATGATTTGGTACTTATTTCAAGTTTTTATACATTAAGATATAGTAAGTCGTAACTAAATGTAGTTCTTTTTTCAGCAACAATATAAAAATATTTCTTATGTAGATGCTCTAATAAAAAAAATGACAGTGGAATTATTTCTTCCAAATTCATACACTGTCATTGTCAGATTGATTACTTTCATTTAGATCATCTTCAGAACTGTCAATAAATGTAGGTGCACTCTCTTTTTGAAGTAACTTCATATTTGAACGAATATATGTTAGTTTGAGGGCTCTTGAGTTATTCAACTGATTTCTGATTTTAGTATGAGTTCTTCCAAAAAGGCTCCAGTTGCGTTCACAAGCAGATGACGACGGTGGGACGCTAAGAATTTTAATAGCTATACTCGCAACATCTTGGTTACCAGCAAATGTTCGCCACCATAATGTTGGCTCAAGGTCATTCACTGGAACCCACATGGCTTTTCTCTCATCATAAAAGTTTTCTTTATGTTTAAATTCTGCCATACTTTTGATGACTTTTCCTGCATCTACGCCTGAAGTTGTAGCAGCTCGACACAAGTACTCAGAAGCCATAGCTATCTCGTCATCAGTTAAATCGATGCCGCAATATCGCGGATCCAATTGGTGAGCCGCGTAGTGTATTGGCTGCAAACAAAAATCTTTGCGTTTTTCGATAGAGGCCATAACCATATTCTTGTCCTCTTCACTTAAAAAAATTGTTGATTGCAATTGTTTGATTACAGTTTGATAAAGTTCTTTGAAAATATGAGGCACATCAGAGAGCAAAGCATTGTCCCTTTCAGATGCAAGGATAGCGTAGGCTATTGGTTGCAGAACTATAAAAGCGTTTTCAATTTTTGCCCATGACTGAAAGTCCAAAATAAAGTCTTTTATTTGTGGCGTGATGTTTACTTCGTGAGATCTTGTCATCAACTCGAGAGCCAGTCTGTTTTCCTTGAACGTTTGAAGCGTGACGAATGCCCCACTCCACCTCGTTTCAGAATACAATTTAAGTTTACACGAAATTTTACCGTATTTTTCAGTTTGACACTTTTCAAACAACACTAAGAGAGCGTGTGACTTTTTTATGTGTTTGATAATTTCAATGACATTCTCTAGGATATCCCCAAAAAAGGCTATCTTAAAAACATCCTTAAACATTAAGTTTAAACAATGGCTTACGCATCCTACACAAGTGATATGGGTATATTTTTTTGTGACAATCCTCCAGACTGCTTTCATGTTGGCAGCATTGTCTGTAATAACGGCGACAAATTTGGTAGGGCCCACCTCCGTAAGGATGTTAATTATTTTTTCACTCATAAAGTAAGCAGTGTCTTTTTGTGTTGCCGGAAGTATGGCGTTTAAAAGAATTGGTTTTGGCGTGGTTACAATAAAATTGATAACCCCTTTACCAGTGACGTTAGTCCATCCATCCATTATCAAAGCAAGAGATGCAGCTTTCTTTATTTTAGCATCCATTTCCTTCTTGATTCGCAAGTATTCAGCTTCTAAAAGTGGATTACTTAAACAATGTATGGATGGAACTGTATACGTTGGATTGAGAAGTTTAAAAACCTCTTGCCAGTATTCAGATTGTAACAAGGACAAGGGAACACCGCTGGCATAAATAGCTCTTGCCAGAAGAGTGTCGACATCTTCGTGACTATATTGTGATGATGAATTGTTATTGTCAAGTAATAAAGGTGAGTCTGGTACCATCACCGTGGTCGAAGTGGACGGAGTTAGCAAAGCTGATTCTGTTGTACATGTGCTTTGCGATGTCGATGGTGAAAGAAGCGGAGTTGAAAATGCCAATTTATTACGTTTTCCCGAATTGTACAGTACTCTTACTTCGCGAGGACACTGTTGGCATTTCATCAAATGTTCTTTAAGTCTATTAGACTGGGCAAATTTATATTCTTGATCGCAATAATTACACGTTACATGTTTTTTCCGATCACGTTCAGAGACTACTAAGAAATGTTCCCAAACACTATCAAAACGTCGAGGCATATTGATTTGCAATTCCACCAACACTCGTAGTTTATGACACCAGTCGCAAAGTAACAAAACACACCGCTTATTACGTTTTGACTCAGGCGCTACTGAAATAAGGACGCGGTGGCCGTCCGTGCCCCGCGTGATACAGTTGTCACACAGCGGTTGTTATCAGACAGTTATCCAAAGCAACTGATAATAACTTATAATCAGTGGCTGACAACCGGCTCTTTATCCGACTGAATACCAAAAGAACTAACATTTTTTTACAGTTCCTGAGTAGCAATTGCTAATTAATAGGTATACGAACCGTTATATGCCTACAAATATGCATTTTTACTAAATTAATTACCTGCTTTGTCATAGTGGTAAACAAAAATTGATAATTAATATTAATTATTTTGCAATGTCCTTCAACCCGACAGATTCAAAGATTATAAACTAATGTACCTACCTACCGTACATAATTGGTATTTAATCTGTAATTATACAGAAATAAACATCACCGGGCAGAAAATTGTTTTTAATTGTTGAAAACGGCGTTTTTGTCTTTACATAACTGGTTTAAAACCTCAACCTTTATGCCGCAATTACATTTGGTCGTTAGCCCGTATTCAGGCGCACGAATTATATTACTCGAATTTGGGCACCCGAAGCAATGTTTATGCCGCATTTGCACTTGCTCGTTTACACGAATTCCATTAGCACTCGTATTGTACCTACCAAGTGTAATCGCGCCATTAGGTATTCAGGTGACTCGAATGCCTTTACTATATGGATGCATATGCTTACACTTACATCATTAAATCATCTATACCATAAATTAAATTTATTTATATTTAAATTGAAATATTTAAAAATACAATAGCTTAAAACTATTTAATGTCTAAAAACTTAAAAACACCTAATAACTAGTACTTAAATAATATACAATTTACAAAATAAAAAATATATTAACCCCAGTGCCATCGTCAGGAATGGTGCCCAATAGCATTTTCACGTTGGATAGTAAGACTAATCCTTTGACCAAGATAGCTATATCATCTAAACTATAATGTTATAAAGCTAAAGAGTTTGTTTGGCTTAACGCGCTAATCGCATGAACTACATATTCAAATTGAAAATTTCATTTTTTGATAGACAGCTCATTTATAGAGGAAGGTTATAGGCTACATAATATCATGATAAGACTAATACAAGCGGAACATCAATGAAAAATGTTGCAAAAACGGGAAAAAATGATCCTTTTCAGAGCTTTCGTTGCGTGCGTTGCAAAAAGGGTAAAAGTTACACAAAAATTGTGTATGAAGATTTTGTTCTCCACTAAAAGTTCGAAAAAAACCGGCCAAGTACGTATCGTACCATACGCAGTGTAGGGTTCCGTAGTTGCTCGTCGTCACCACAATATATTTTGGAAAGAGTCTATATTATAAGCAAATATTTCGTCTGAAGGCACTTTTAATGTTTTCTTCTAAGGGATTTTTATAAGTACAGATGTTTTCGTATACATAAGTTGAACGACTATTACTCTTAAAAAAACCAATCAATTTTAAACATTATAATTTTCTTTAAAATTTTATAAAAGCAATATTGCTGATTTTTTCCGGGTTTTTCAAGCCAATTGTTTAGCTTTTAGAGGGAGGGGACGCCCTACACGATCAAATACTAGCACTTTAAAGTTCAATATTTTGCAAACATTTCCTAAATCGGAAAATAGTCTTATAAACTCCTAAGTAATTTTAAAGGATCTATTCAACGATATCCCACACGATGGGCCGGACGATGAAAAAAATCATCTTCAGGGCACATGTAAGGAAGCTAACCGAAAAAAAATATTTTCAAAATTTTATTGTATCATTTTATCGTCATGATTGATATACATATCTACACAAAAATACAGCTCGCTAGTGCTTATAGTCTCTAAGCAAAACCGAGGACGGACAGACAGACTGAAATGACGAAACTATAAGGGTTCCTCGTTAGGACTACGGAACCCTAAAAAGGCCGCGACCGTAAGTATGTATCTATCTATTAAGGTTGACATACTTTAACCTTTTTTATGGTTCCTAATCCTGGTTCTGAAGTAATGGATTATTTGCGAAGATATTTTTATAAACATGATAATCTTTATCAAAATACAGACGTTATTACTCAGAACTAATTATTTTTTAATAAAATTGCCCCTAACAATATTTGATTTCAACGAATATCTTAGGAGATATCATAGTTTTAAAATAACTTCGTAACAAAAAAAGGATTCGAGTACAACGCGCGCATGATAATGAGGGCGGGCGCGCCCGCTTAAAGAAATAGGATCAGACTTTATTCTCTGTAGGAATGGACCCCAGGTAGGCATTTAATACTTTTCCATAGCCAAACAAATATAAAGCTCTTTTATAAGTTATTTACGGGATTATTACCATGTACCTTGTTTTTTTTTAGTGTTTTTGATATTTCGGCATAAGGAATAATATAACGTACGTATATTGATAACTAGCTGTGCCCGCGACTTCATTCGCGTTGATGTTGAAATATAACAACTTGAAATAAGTATATATGGATGACATGAATTTTATGGTGAAGTGACGAGCTCTGCTTTTAAGGTGTGAAATCTTGTGAAATAATAACAAATATAAATTGTTGGGGTTATTTACACGAAAAAGAGCTTCATATATTGTTTTCAACTTTCATGGTCACTACCTTGTTTTTAGCCAGTTTCCGTTATTTCGGCATTAATAGTCCGTGATCAGTCTGGAGTCAGTTACTCCGTGATCATCGCGCTTTTATCACATAGATAAACATACGTAGTGCAGCTTACATCTTTAATTCTAAGTAAAGATAATTAGTATACGTAACAAGTAAATATTTATTTACTTGAGAGAAAAAGTAATCGATTTTCCTTTTTCTGTTAACTTCTCACCATCGAAGCCTCGGTTTTCCCGGCGAGCGCGGCGTCTCTGGCTCACTCACATACGCGCACTGTATGAAGCTTTGCCTCTGTGTCTTCTAACACAACACACCTTACCCTACCCTACAATACATTCCTTTAAATAAAAATCTTATCTACATAATGAAGATATCACTGTAAAGTTTGCTTTATGCCTTATTTATTTTTCGAAAAGTAAACCTTCGTTCTTCCTCGAATTAATTAAGTGTACAGTGTGAAGAGTTTTATAGAAATATTCCAAGGATAAGCAAAGAGCAACTTAAATTAGGTAAATTAATCTAAGAAAGCAAAAGTTAGGTTTGGACTAAGTCAATAGAAGTTTGAGTTATAAAGTTTGGATTGTAGGATTTAATTAAATTATTTTTAGTAGTTATGTACGCAAAGGTTAGCATGAGAAACATAATATTTCTGAGTTCATTTGAGCGTCCTTGGGTCAGCATTATGTAGTCTCATTAATCGTAATAATATGTGAAAAGGTCACCGATCGTGTACTGATATTTCCGCTATAACAGAAACATAATATGGAAACAGTTCCTTACAGCAGTTTCAGAAAGCTCAAATAGAAAATATCGGGGCACTCGCGCTTATGGCGCCCCGTGGCGTACCCTAGGGCCCTATTTTTTAATCGTTCGTCTCCAACCGAGCGCTCGTTTTCAACAAATTTTCGTTCAACATAAGAATTTTCTATTTTTTTATTTGCTCTACGGCAACGAGTGCTGTCAACCGATACCCAAACTTTCCTTGTCTTAATAGTGTGACTTAAGTCGCACTCGACTCTAGAGGTGCCATTTCGAGTGACGAGTGATTTGAAAATAGGTCTCCTATTCCAACGCGTTTCGCAAGTCAATTCGAAATTCATATAAAGTATCTATTTTTAAAGGTCCATATTATAGTGGTACCTGTTTTACATGATAAACAACTAATAACGTTATATATGTACTTTTAATAATAATCAAAAGAAAATTTTTTGTCCGGGAAATGTTTTGAGATAATTTACATAAATTTGGTATTTTTTGTTTAGACAATCCAGTAGAAAGTATATTGTCAAATAAATAAATAAAACACATATCTTATTACACTGTTTCTGAACGTACATAAATGCCTTTATTCCCATTAGTTCTGTTGAACAGTATGCTGACCGAACTATGGGAAGTATTATCCCACTAGTTCTGTGAATAAATTGGCTAGTTTTTTGACCGAATCAATGGGATTTTTCGTGGCACTAGTTCTGTGAGTAACTTAAGGTAGTAAATCGTATTGTGTTGTGGTAAATACTTTAAATACAAAAGGAACTAATACTTTTGTTTCAACAGAACTTGTGGGAATAAAGGAATATATGAAGTATTTGTGTTTGATATAAATCGAATGATTTTACCACAAATATATATTATGGAAAATGAGTTTTACCCTCAGATTAATGGTTTTACCTACCCATAAGCCTAGGATTTCGTGTGCTTTAGGAATGGTGACCAAGTAAAGCTACAGGATAAAAAACATGATGCCAGAATCATTGGTTACTCTTAATGTTTTGATTATTTCTTAAATCTCGAGGAAACAATATTTCTATGATAGGAATCTTATGGAAAGCAGTTTTTGGCTTCCATTTCGACGCTACATACGACATACCTACCACTAAGTTACCCATATCCTAATTATTTTGGTTATTCTGACTTGACCTGATTTTAGAGCGTCCATGCAAATATCTACTAAGTCTGTAATATTTAGAAGCTGATTATTTTTTTGGGATTCGTTCTAGCAATTATTTAATAAGTAATGTAAATATATACAATTAACCTATATTATTATTAACCTTAATTTGATAAAACATCATCCAAAATATTTTTTATCTAAGTTGTTCTTCTAATTTCCATTAGCTGTCCAATAACCAGAATCACACTTTCTACCTTTAATAATTTCAAAACTAGCTATGATTTTACATTACTATTTATATATTTTTAAAGAAGATTAATATATTTTGCTACTAAAAAATATCACTAGCTTAACAAGTATAGTTATTAAGATATAACGAAAAATATGCTTGTCCTTTCATTTTTCCAATTTCTGTCACTTGTTAAGCAATTATAAATATCTACCATTTTAAGTAAATTATACCTATTCATATCACATATTAGGAATACGTTAATAGTGCTGCGTCAGTAACCGTAACGGTGCATGTCTAGTGTTTCGCTGCCGCACTAAATAAAATAAGAAAATAATTGCCACGTATGGTTTACGATTTCTCTAATTTACGTTTGTTTGTTTAATTTTATTCTATTATACC